TAGTGTTTCACCAAGACAACGCGAGACCTCACACAAGTTTGGTCACTCGCCAAAAGCTTTTACACCTTGAATGGGATACAATGCTACACCCACCATATTCTCCAGACCTGGCACCATCGGATTATTATTTGTTCCGGTCACTCCAAAATTTTTTTGACAGTAAAACCTTCACCTCAAATGTGCATTCGTAACTAGAGAATTTAAATACATGAATATAGAGGATACAATACATGAAATCCCTGTATATTTGCCATCGATTGTAGACAATATAGTTAATGTAAAACCTATTCAATTAAACCTAAAATCTATAAGTTTGGACCAGTTGTCCAAATTAACTTTACAGTCCAATGACCCTATTATTTATAGTGACAATGAGAGTAGTGAATCAAACCATATAATAACATTCTCAGTAATTATAACGATATTGATGATAATCATTATTTTCCTATTAATAAAAAAATAGAATTAAGTTGTGTTTAAATAAAGTTAAAATAAGTGAGGAAAAGGAAGAACAAAAGGAACAAGCTTTTCCTTTACCTCAACGTAGAGTAAAATAATTGTAATTTTAATAAATACTGTAAATGAAATTTTAAGTTTTAAATCTTATCAATTTAATTCCTTAATGGGGGAGGAGTTATCGATGTGAATAGATAGTAATCAGCGCGTTTCTCACACCGACAACTAATTCCCAATAATGTGCAAACTAGACTATTTCTTGNAAGGCAAAGCTTTAGAGAAATGCAATGTAAAGGATTGGACTAAAGGTATTCTGAAGGCAGAAAAATTGATACAGGAGTGGTGTGATGGGGAAGTATTTCAGAAGGCATAGAGGAGATTATTATTACCCCTGAGTGTGAAGATGTCGAGTTTTGTATTAAATCGTTAATTAGTTTTTCAGTTTCACAAAAATTGCCCACTAATACGTTAAAAATTAAAGATTCTAAACATTCAAGTATTCTATACCATCATATCCAATGGTAGTGTATTTTTGCCCTAATTCTAAGTCACGTAGTGCAAATTTTCGCTCCTCATCGTACTCCCTGGTGTACCGATGACGCTATCCCACTCTAATGTTGGATTCAATGCTGCACACTCCAAACATCAGTAACGCGCTATCTATATTGAGTATCATAAGATCTTTGCTCACTACTGACACACGCACAAAGAGCGTCTATAGTGATGTAAAAGCTGTCAAGTACCTGCGCAAATCACAGTTAAAACAAAAGATGCCAAGCTACTCAACGAAATATTAAAGGTAAACAATATTAAACTGAGGTTGCCACTTAAATATTCTACAACGGAAGTAAGAGAGTTCACTGAGGAGGGCGAAGACTACAGAAAAGCTGTCAAAGTAGTTCAACAAAGCAATTTTGAATACTCCACGAATAAGCTGGAAGAAGAAAAGGAATTAAAAATCGTATTAATAGGTGGATCACGAGCTATCGAAACGAAATTTTTTAGTGCTTTGAAAAAGGCCATACAATAAAAATGGCCGAATTTTGTTAAAGTAAATAAAGAGTAATTAGTAACGGCTGAATTATACTTAATTTATTAAAAAAAAAAACTGCTAAACCTAATACAAAGAACAAAAGTTTTCAAATTTCTTTCACATTGTTCACTTCAAACTTCAAACGGGTATATTCCGAAGAAGATGGTTTAGTTCAGTTCTGTAGGTATTAAATTCTTTATACATAAGAGAATTAACTTATGCTGCTATATATATATAGTTAAAAAACTTTGGTCATGGTACATATTCACTTACATCTGGAAGGCTTTTGGTACACACCAATCATAATTTTATTAAAAAAAAAAAAAGATACAGTATGAGTAGATTATGTATACCTACTCTGTACCCTCTTCCAATATGAGGTTATGTTCGTAGAAGTAGAGCAGACGTGTCAAGGTGGTCATTATAGATCCGATTTGTTTTTTTTTGTGCATATAGGCTACGTCAGGAACATTGCTTTCATAGTCAATTGCCATCCTCCTATTAACGAATGTTAGTATGGTAAGAAAATCACGTTCAGACGCGTGTTTTTCCAATTCCTTACAAAGGCACTCAATAAACCATGATCCATTTAAAGGGCTTCGCCAGGAGTAATAACCTACAAATGTGTTTTAAAATTTAACGGTTGCGCAACACTTTAAGTAAACAAAAGTTAACAAATTTTGGTCTACTTCAGAGGAAAAAAAGCAACATTAAGTCTTAGGTTCAAATATAAGCAAGATTAAAACCTAAAGAAATTAATGGAACGTGCTAATATTGCATGCAGGAGGGCAGAATTTTACGAAAATACTACCATAACATGAGCACACGTTGTTTCTGTTAATGAAACTTGGATTTTTTCAAAAGCCATCAAAATAAGGCCGTAGCAAGATGAAAGTCCAAAAGGTGTTACAAATCTGAAGGCTATGATGGTAAACAATTTATAGTTTCGTATCCTGGTTCTAAAAATTGATTTATAAGTAACGAAGCATTTCTTTTTTTAACTAAATCAAAGTTAATGGATTATCAAGACGATATGAATCATGAAATATCTACCAAGTGGGTAAAAGAAAAATGAATTCCAAATTTACATGAACCTTCTGTAATTATAATGGATAATAATATGACAGTGTAGAAAAAGGAAAGCAACCAAGAAGATATAAAAAAAATTGGTTAATTAAACATGGAATTTCTGTGGAGGAGAATCTTCTTAAAGTTGAACTTCTGCAATTACTAAGCAAAATCGTAGGAACAAGAAATTTGTTGTCAACAAATTGTTAAATAATGGTCATAAAGTTCTTCGATTACCACCTTACTATTGCCAGCTCAATGCAATAGAAATGTGCAAAGGTCAAAAATTACTACAATACAAATATTGGTCAAGAAGGTTATGGTGATCAGAAGGTAATTGATATTTAAGGCAAAGCTTTAGAGAAATGCAATGTAAAGGATTGGACTAAAGGTATTCTGAAGGCAGAAAAATTGATACAGGAGTGGTGTGATGGGGAAGTATTTCAGAAGGCATAGAGGAGATTATTATTACCCCTGAGTGTGAAGATGTCGAGTTTTGTATTAAATCGTTAATTAGTTTTTCAGTTTCACAAAAATTGCCCACTAATACGTTAAAAATTAAAGATTCTAAACATTCAAGTATTCTATACCATCATATCCAATGGTAGTGTATTTTTGCCCTAATTCTAAGTCACGTAGTGCAAATTTTCGCTCCTCATCGTACTCCCTGGTGTACCGATGACGCTATCCCACTCTAATGTTGGATTCAATGCTGCACACTCCAAACATCAGTAACGCGCTATCTATATTGAGTATCATAAGATCTTTGCTCACTACTGACACACGCACAAAGAGCGTCTATAGTGATGTAAAAGCTGTCAAGTACCTGCGCAAATCACAGTTAAAACAAAAGATGCCAAGCTACTCAACGAAATATTAAAGGTAAACAATATTAAACTGAGGTTGCCACTTAAATATTCTACAACGGAAGTAAGAGAGTTCACTGAGGAGGGCGAAGACTACAGAAAAGCTGTCAAAGTAGTTCAACAAAGCAATTTTGAATACTCCACGAATAAGCTGGAAGAAGAAAAGGAATTAAAAATCGTATTAATAGGTGGATCACGAGCTATCGAAACGGAAGGTATTCGAAGGTACTCAGACAATCAAGGGTGTACAGACCTATAATTTAATCATCACATCTCCAAAAGAACATTACCGATGGCACTGATAACCTCAAAGAAGGACGATGAAGACAAAGGGCAGTACTTACTGCCGTCGGAGATTTGGATAACAAACATAAATGTATCAAATATGCAGAATCCCACGCGACAAAGGAATGCACCTACGGAGGAAAAGGCAAATGCGCTAACTGCTGAGATGGTCATATAGCCTCCAGCTGAAGCTGCCCCGAAGATGGTGAATCTCTCGAAGTTACGTTCGGATGTTTTGTATGCAGAAGAAGCAATGAATGGAATGAACCAAAAAATAGCAAGTGGGATAGATATAAAAGAACTAATAAGCAAAATCATAAAGGTCTTATCTCAACTTTTAAACGAGTACCTAATTGAATAGAACTGCAAAGGCATTAAAACAAAAATTAATGAACTACGATGTTTTTTAATAGAAATTGATATCAGCAGTACATGAATCGATACATATTTGAAAGAACAAAGTAAACTAAGCATCTCTGGCTTTTAAATCATGTGGGTTGTGATGATATCATTAGATACAAAGCTATAAAAAACAACCATATAGGAAATAAAATGGAAGCTGTTGGAGCAAAACTTAAAATCAAAGCTATATACATACCACCGAATGGCAAGATTAGCTAAGAAGATTTTCAGAAAGTGATATCACATAACATTATAATAGCGTCAAACCTAAGTGCATAACATGCAAGTTAGGGCTGTTTCTATCAGAATGAAAGGGGAAAATATCTACTCGCCGTGTCAAGGAAAGAAATGTTAATTCAGAGATCTTGAAAACATAACAGATCAAATAGTCAAAAGGGATCAATCCGGACAATATAGAAGTGAAATATGAAGTAGGTTCGGATCACGCACCTGTAGTGACTAGTAAACCAAGTAAAAATAATGAACTGGAAAGAATACACGAAACATACGGATGATATATCGGATTGTTCGGAAAGTCATTTCGTTTTTTCCCGACAGAGGATTTAATTGTATTCTTTTGCACCCAACTTCACATTTAAGCCGTATAATTTTTATATGCTTTGAGAGCTCATATAGCAAGGCTTGTGTGTGAAAAATTCCAATTAATTCTACGCAGTAGTTTTTGGTTGGTGCCCTTTTAAATATGGAGAGCGATAAGCAGCATTTTCGACATATCTTACTGTTTTACTACAGAAAGGGTAAAAATGCTGTTCAAGCCAGAAAGAAATTGACTGATGTGTATGGAGAAGGTGTGTTGACAGTACGCCAGTGCCAGAACTGGTTCGCTAAATTTCGATCCGGCAATTTTGATGTCGAAGATGCACCACGTTCGGGAAGGCCGGTTGAAGCTGATAAAGACGCGATAAAGGCATTAGTTGATGTGAACCGGCGAATAACAACACGTGAGATCGGATTGAGGTTAAATTTATCAAATTCAACAGTTTATGACCACTTGAAAGGCCTGGGATTATCCTCGAAGCTCGATGTATGGGTTCCCCATGTTCTCACAGAGAGAAATCTGTGTCGCCGCATTGACGTCTGCGATTCGCTTCTCAAACGTCACGAAAATGATCCGTTTTTGAAGCGCATCATCACTGGGGACGAAAAATGGGTTGTATACAACAACGTCAAACGCAAGAGGTCATGGAGCAAAAAAGATGAACCGGCTCAAACCATTTCCAAAGCCGATATTCACCAAAAAAAGGTGATGCTGTCTGTTTGGTGGGATTTTAAAGGAATCGTTTTTTTTGAGCTTTTACCGGATAACACAACGATTAATTCGGAAGTCTACTGTCATCAGCTGGACAAACTGAATGATGCACTTCAACAGAAAAGGTCAGAACTAATCAACAGGAAAGGTGTAGTGTTTCACCAAGACAACGCGAGACCTCACACAAGTTTGGTCACTCGCCAAAAGCTTTTACAGCTTGAATGGGATACAATGCTACACCCACCATATTCTCCAGACCTGGCACCATCGGATTATTATTTGTTCCGGTCACTCCAAAATTTTTTAGACGGTAAAACCTTCACCTCAAATGAGGAGGTCAAAAACCTCCTCGATCAGTTTTTTGCCAGCAAAGACCAAACATTTTATGAGCGTGGAATTATGCTACTACCAAAAAGATGGCAAAAGGTGTTGGACCAGAACGGTCAATATATAATTTAATAAAGTATTTGTTTATTATACGAAAACTGTCTTTCATTTCCACAAAAAGAAAACGAAATGGCTTTCCGAACAACTCTATAGTATTCGAGGATGCTGACGCCGATTTATCAGTGGAACAACTTTTAACAAAACTGTTGGATGCAATGGAAAAAGCTACAATAACGATCCAGACCAACCTGATAAATAAATGTCCCGTATATAACTTATATAACAAGAAATAAAGTGGAAGTGGTATGGTAGTCCAGAAGTCCAACTATAGGCAACTACAGGAAGAGTTTGAAGAAATGTTAGCAGAGAATAAAGATAATTAATGGAATGAAAGAAGAACTTTCAAAATGCGAAAAGTCTGTAAATGGTGACATTTGGAGATTATTACGGGAATTAAGAAAGAAAAAGGAACCTGATGTCCATACTCGATATACAAACGGAAACTGAAAGTCTGAAGATATCGAAAAAGCCAAAATTAATGTCAACACTTTGAAAGCCCAGTTTACGAACAATTCTTCAATGGTACAATTCGTTGAGAAAATCTTACCCACGACACAATAAATGATGAAATGGATAGAGTATTAGAGCAACAATAAATGACAACAATAAAATTTTTGAATCGCATTATAGATAAGTACTTATTAAGTAACGAGTTCGCAAAGTAATCAAACGAATTCTGGTTTCTACACAATTTGGTGCTGCTGCCAACTCTGTTACGATAATACGCTTCTAATCACACCCGAAGTAACGCCACTCCTTGTGTGACGGTAATAGTCGGATGGGACACCCCATTCAGGAAGTGCATTATTTAGCGAATTGGTGACCAACTTGTTCTAGGCGATAATTTTCATTTATTCTTAATGTTTTTGGAACGCTAAATGTATTTTTCATTGAAAAATGGAGGAATAGTTAACAAAATGTTATCAAAATTCAAAATCGGTAGGTTGAATCACATATTATTAAAATTTCAATATTATATATACCTATATTACCCTAATTGTCATTTCATTTAATGTTCTCAAATTTTTAACAAAAAACACTTGCATATTCGGGCTCAGCGCATCCAAAAGCATAAGAATCAAGTAAAACATCCTAGAACGAAATTAGTCTGTATTTATTGTGTACAATAAATATTGTCAACTGGATTCTTATCTTCATTATAATCCATAAATACACAATCATTTCATTATTTTTTCTTCTCCTCCAATCCTTAGGTTTGGCTTGGAACAGATGGAACACCTATACTTATGTCACTGCCCAACTAAACTTTAATGTAGGATAACAGTAAAACACTGCAGCAATACATCGTGTATCAAAAATGTAATAATGACACCAAGGAAGTTACTTAAGATTAAAAGGGTTTGAACCTGTTAGAGAAGTGTTTGGTCTTGCTTGTGTGCCTTTCATGTATTACAAGCTGTGCACTAAAGCGGTGGAATTGCCAAAGTTCCCCGCCTTCCATTGACGAGGAAGCTATTTAAATTATATCGCAGTTTGAAGAGTAGTATCAGATACAGACAGCGTAGCATAAACAAGTAATATATAGCAAAAAGTAGCCTAGATTACGCCTTCCAACCTTCTCTTACGATTAATGTCTATAAAGTCCCATCGAAATCAGTACAGCCGATTTAAATATAGTGAAAGCTAATAATTTTGAAATCGCGGAATACATCTGAAATTTGATAATTTAGATAAACTGCTGACGAAGAAGTTAATATTTTAAAAGGCGAACTATCCAATATTTCCATCACCAGGCTTCGATTATTATTTTTTTAATATGTATGGTGTTCGGTTTTCTTTTACATGATGCAAAGTCTACGTTTCCATATAATCCAACAAAATTTGACTAGAATGCTAACAATAATTAGCCATATCTGTTATTGATATCATTTTTAAGAACGCTTAAGTTCTTGGTTTGAAATTTATAGGAACCCCTAGACGCGGAGCGCGATTTCGTTCTTATTTTATCTCAACAGTGCATCTTCGGCAGTCCCGATAAATAGTGAACCGAAGAAGCTCTTAAAATATTGTAGCGAGCACGAGTGTATTTGTGTGCGATCGGACACACATGTGCGTGAACGGCTTATCGATTCGCCGACCAGCCGCGGGCGCCTTTCTTCATGTGCGCCGTATTTGTAAATGTGTGTGTCGTACCTGCGTTCTGGGAAAGCAGTTAAACATTTCAAAGAAAAAAAAAACTATCCGGATGTCACCAGAAGGTTCCAGAGAGTAAACAAAAGAGTATTTAAAGGAAGAGACGATCGCCGAGAGAGAGAGGAAAAAATAATAAATTGACCGTTGCAGAAGTGAATCAAGAAATAAATTGATAGTGATAGCAGTGAAATAAATAGCGCAGTAAATAGTGATATATCAACAGTAGTGTAAATAAATAGAATAATTCATAACCTAAGTTTAGTAATAATTCAATAGTGTGTTTAGGTTCTTTAATAATTAGTGTAAATAAATAGTTTTTGTCGTTATCAGTCTTAGAAGTTAATTTTGTTAAACCCACGAA